TGCTACCCATTTAATCGAGGTACGGTTTATTTTTATTTTGCCTTCTTTCTTAGCCTGGTTTAGTGATCTGGGCATAACACTTTTTATCTCCACTTTGCAGACTTGACTAGGTTGGCCAGGCACGCCTTTGCACCATCGCTCAACCGAGATATTCAATGTCATCTCAACACCGAGCTAGACCACCTCTTTAACTTGTACACAATTTAAGTTAAATGGGTAAATACCAGTTCCTGGTAGACTCACCTGGGGCTATTGCCGAATTCCGTAAGGACTACAATATTCCTGACGATGTCCATCTATCTTTAGCCGAACTAGATACCACACCCTGGGGAAAACCGGGGCTTCGTTCCTTTTACCGTAATATCAATTATTGAGGCCGGTCTCCGATTCCCTATACAGCCACTAATTTGCGAGTTCCTCAGGAAGACGAGATTGTGCCCAACTCAACTCAGCACCAATACTTATATAATAATAAATGGTATCACCGAGCTAAACCGTAGGCTCAGTCTCAACCTCGGGTTGGCCGAGCTATTCCATCAATACTCGCTTAGCCAAAATGATGACGGTTGGGTGTATTATTTAAGAGTAAGAAGAGGCTGAGAGAAAATAAAAAATACACCGGACAAAGACTTAAATGACAATGATTTTTTCTAGGTTTCGGGAATTTTGAAGACCAAGAAGCCCAGATACCGGGATATAACATAAATTGGAATAAGGGGACTGCTAGTAAGAATACCTCGGTCCAATTTTTCTTTTCTATTCCAGGCTATAATTTTCCACCGTGCTAACCGTTGCCTTTTTGATTATGTAGACCTGAACCAGTAAAATCTCAACACCAATACGCCAACCAGGACGCTCTCCACGCTGCGCTTCAGTACCGTCATCAAGGTTGGGCCGAGCTGCTTAACTTCGAGCCGACCTACCGATACAGCGAAAGGAGGAAGGTCAGGGTAATTGACTTTCCTTTGGAAACATCACCAGAACCGAACCCCAACTTGCCACAGATCAACCTCATTCCCTTAACCGAAGAACAAGAAATAGCCAAGCGCCGCGCTGTTCGAGCACTAATCACTGAAATAACTCCAGCCGGCGGGGTTTAAACTGGGACATCACAAGCCGGTCAAACACACGAGGCTGTGGTGGCCCTTCCAAAAGCCCGAGCCTCATCATCTCGGCCAAGCAAGCGCGCACGTACTATTTCGGCCGAGGCCCAACACTTGATCGACGAGGATACCGCACTGTCAGATACTACAATGATGAGCCCTGAGCCCGTGCATTCTGACTGAGCTAGCCCTTCTGAATGGGCACCAAGAATGACTTATAAGAACCGCGCTATCACGAAAACAGACTCAGTGGTCGCAGATAAGGACCACAAGCTTGCCTTTAACCTCACCAAAAGCATGTGTCTGCCCGCTGACATGGAGCACCACGACCACTTGACTAAGCTCAAGGCCATCCACTCGGCAACTAAGTCAATGGTGCTGGTAAGTGCTCCCTTTGTTTTTTTTTTTTCCAATTTTCCCTTTGTTTTTTTTTTCCAATTTACACATCAGTTTGCTTGGTTTTAATCATAATCTCTACCTCTTCTTTTTGCAGGCCATACAAAAGAACCACGTTGCTCATAAGCGCGTGCTGGAGCTGCGCAAGACAACGCGGCTGGCCGTGGCAAATGCCAACGCAAAGACAGCCGAGCTGAACGAAGCCAAGCAAAAAACGACCGAGCTGGAATCTGAAATCGCCCGACTTACCGAGCTGGTCAACTCGGCGAAAGCGGACAAGCAGAAGGCCTTGGCCGAAAAGAAAGACCGCTATCTGCGTGAGCTGGCCAAGCTCGAGAAGAAAAAAGATGCTGAAATAGCCGAGCTGAAAAAGAGCGCGGAAGACGCTGAGGACCGTGGCTACAAAGAGGGGGAGGCGACGTATGTCTTGCAGTGTGAAGCTGCAAAAGACATCTTTTTCAAATGCGGCTGGAAGGTAGCTGTATCGAAACTTGGTCTGGGCCCAGAAACCGAGGTCTTTCAGAACCCTCCCCCTCATTTTATCCCAAGTTATATGGCAGATTGTGCCAACGCCATCTAACAGAAGCTTCTCCAAGAGAGGGAGGAGGAAGAAGGATCACCTGATCCAAACAATGCCCCGACTGCTAGCAATGATCGCGATCTCCAAACCAGTCAGACAACTCGGGTGGAGCCACCGGTGCCAAGCACGATTGATGATGCGCCTTTGACCGACGTACCTGCTGGAACTGGGCTACCAAGTGGCGAAGGTCGGGTTGACCTGGATGTAGACTTGGACAACCTTTTTGCTTGATCATGTTTTTTCTTCTTGTGATGCTAACTTTTTGAAAGAATTTGTAACCGGGCTTGAGTCTCGCCTCTTGTAATGCACATTTTTCAAATGGAATGAAAATCTACTACTTTCCAATCTTTTTGTTCGGTTCATACCATGCTTGTAATTGCCTTTCAACTTTAATTTGTATGTCTGAACTCTTTGCTCGATTGCCATGTCTTAAACTTTTATGGCCGGGATAGCCATCTCGGTCGAGGAGCTTTGTAATCTGTTTACCATGTGTTGGTTATACCTGCCGACCCTCTTCAACCTAGATCCTTATCTCGATTGAAGAGAGCAAAATGTTGGTATTCTTACCAACTTTCTTCAGCCTAGATCCTTATCTCGGCTAAAGAGAACAAAATGTTGGTTATTCCTGCCAACCATTCTTCAGCGTAGATCCTTACCTCGGCTGAAGAAAACAAAATGTTGGTTATTCCTGCCAACCATTCTTCAGCCTAGATCCTTATCTCGGCTAAAGAGAGCTAAGTGTTGGTTATTCTTGCCAACCTTCTTCAGCATAGATACTTATCTCGGCTGAAGAGAGCTAAGTGTTGGTTATTTCTGCCAACCATTCTTCAGCCTAGATCTTATCTCGACTGAAGAGAGCTAAGTATTGGTTATTCCTGCCAACTATTTTTCAGCCTAGATCTTCATCTCGGCTGAAGAGAGCTAAATGTTGATTATTTCTGTCAACCATTCTTCAGCCTATATCCTTATCTCGGCTAAATAGAGCTAAGTGTTGATTATTCCTGTCAACCTGAGATGCTTATAAAAAAGTATGGAGTACAACTTGAGATGCTTATTTTATTATATAGGAATGTATAACATATATACATATATATATATAACATTCGCTATTATTTTGTTTGAGTTAGTATAAACAAAAGAATATTGTCAACTGTACATGTATATTTTGTACTAAACTATGTTAGCAGAAAATATTTAGTAATAATATTATTCACTTTTTTTATATTGATAGAAAATGATATTCTATTTTGTACATTTTAACCAAAAAAAAATCTCCATTGAGAGTTGCACATAATTTCGGCCCCAAAATCAGAAACCAAGATCCGTGGATCTTCTAGAAGACTATTCATTAATTTACTTAATCCACTACTGTGTTCCAACACAACATCAAACTGAACCCCATTTTTACACAGTTTTCTATATGGAATCAATGCATGTGATGTGATTACATGAAGAGGCAGTTGGAAGAGAAATAAAAGAAACTTATTCTCTATTTGGTCAATAATGTTACATTTATTATCTTTTTATACTATTTTTGATATACTGTCTTATATGACACAATTATGATCACTGAGTCACACGTGAGTTTCATTAATAATTAATATTTAATATTTGTGATTATGCTTTATAAAATGGTATACTGAATGTTGTATAAAAGATGATAAGTGTAACGTTATTGTCAACCAGAGTGGTTTGATGAAGAAGAGCACATACTCTAGTACCTCTCACGCAGTTTGCAACCACAAACACAGGGAACACACTTGTTGGCTGGGGTGTATAACAAGAGCACTTAAGTCGGTGCAAGACTCTATGCAGCTAGCAGCAGTAAGACTTAGGTGCAAGCTATGCTCTTTTAACAGTAATGTTGGTTCATCGGAATAAATTGGAATGAAATGAAATGATTATTCCTTGAACTCTCATATGGAATAACCATTCCCTTCAAATGGTAAATGTCAATTCCATTTGTAATATATATATTTTTTTATTATTTTTTTTTTTTATCAACCAAACATAGGAATGAAGATTTTGATGAAATAATTATTCCATTCCGTTTCATTCTAATGAACCCAACACTACCTTAGAATAAGAGGTATAGATTATGTTCCTCAATCCTGGAAGTTAGATTTCCACTTGTACGTACTTCCATTACGATTGAAAGTCATGTCATGTGCAACCACTTGCACACGTTGCTCTTCCTTGGGCCCCCTCTCCAGCAATTCTCAAAAGAGTTGCTTACGTAGGTCACAAGCAAGCCCAAAGCATAAAATCTCGCACTTGTGCATCCATAGATGGCACACACCCCAAAGAATATGTGCGCCCGCACATGTCATGCGTGCACACACCTATTACCGGATTAGGTTTTGATTTATTCATGATTAGACCTCGTTTGGAAACAGACTAATTTAATAATTTTTTAATTATTTGACTAAAATATGAACTAAAAAAAACTATTATTTTTTAGATAACTTTTTACGAAAAGATATACAAAAAATAAAGAGAGAAGAAAATATTTGACTTGTTAGTATAAGTTGTTGACTTTTTAATTTTTTTAGTGACTGTTTGACTTTTTGACTAAAAAATCACTTGCCAAACGAGACCTAAATTACTATTACATTTATTCTATATGATTATAGATTCTTATTTAGACTTTCACGTGCCTTGGGCTAAGGCCCTGTAGGCCACAACCGGTCATGATAAGTATTATCCCACCAATTGTGAACTTTACCTTGACTTGGCCACTCTCTCCTCGGGCCTCTCCAATGAACTCCATCTTTGACTGGTCATCCAACTAGGCATCATGCTCGGTTCTGCGCTCAGTCAAGAAGTGTAGAGTAAAATTGCCTCGCACACTAAGATACATCAGTCAGTATTGTCCCAATCGTAAAATATTTTACTATATCATTAGTCAAGAACATACTATGTTAGTCAAGAACATCACATCGACACAATGGTATTCCAAAATTACTAAATAATTATCCAGGAGTATACATCTGAATCATCAGCATACAACAGAGTATTAAAAAAGCAAAGCAGAGATTCAAAAGCATGATCATGCTCAGAAACTATCTTGGCTTACCCCAAAAAAGGAAAAAAGGGAAAAAGATGTATCCTCACCATTACAACTACAACTTCCATTGCTGTTTCTAGCATCTACAGGTTTATACATACATTGACACAAGTGTGGACTCTCACATCCATCCTTCCAGTAATTTCCTTTCAACTCAAACCAACCAATCATAACTTTCATCATTGTAATTTGAAGCATTATATGCGAGACGTGGCAACTAAACCAACCGAATAATGATGTGTCACACCATGATTGTTACCCTATGAATGAACAACTCAAGCCCTCTCTCAAGAGAATGTCATTGCCTAGCCAGCCATGGTAACCGCACCTGCCATGCACACCATCAACAATCAACACAAAACACAATGAACACAACAATAGACAAAGGTTGCCAGTTTTTCACATACATATATAGAGAGCAACTTCTAAGAAACTCCTGCCAAGAAGCAATTGGTACTACCAGAGCTGCCCATGGAACAAGTGGCATCACGAACCAGAAATTTCACAGTACAAGTGCCAACAAAATCCAATATATCAAGACACTCTTGCAGATCAGAGTCTGTTACCAACATCACCCATTCCTCTTCATCATCCAGATACTTGAGCTGGAATGTTCCCATATGCAATTTGAACCTCTTCCCAACCTCATCATATAGTTTGTGACACCCTCCACAAGGCTCAAATTTGAACCTCACTGTATCTTCTTTGTAAGTAGCTTTCACGGTGATTTTTGAACTGGTTTGGAGTTTGGTGTGTTCCTGTTGTTCACCAAAGCTTGGAGAGCTTGATGAACTACCATGCGCCCTTGAACCAGACCTGCTGGATGAGTCAGTCATGCCTGAACCAGACCCGCTGGATGAGTCAGTCATGCCTGAAGAGGTGGTAGGTTGGTTATGTTCAATAACTACCCCATCATCATCAGCTTCCATCATCATCATGCCAGCATTATCACCACCATCCATTCCAGTAGTATCCATCTCATCTGGTGGCTGCAATGGCCTAGCATCTAATAATAATCCAGTTGATTTGGAGTCATCACAACATTCACCCACAAGAGATTATTCCATTCCGTTTCATTCTAATGAACCCAACACTACCTTAGAATAAGGGGTATAGATTAGTCGGAATTATTATTATTATTATTATTAGTATTAGTATTAGTATTAGTATTAGTATTAGTATTAGTATTATTTTTGGTGTTTGGCATGAATTGACTTCTCGTCCTACTCCTCGGAGGCCCTACTTGGTTTCCACCACCCATGATGAAATGGTCCTCTTCCAATTTGATGGCAGAATTGTCAGCATGATTGGTTGAAGGACAAACAGATGATATTGCTGCTGATTCATGTTGGGTAAGTGATTCAGGATTTTGAACAGAAAGTTTTTTGGTAGGGAAGAGAATACTACTACTTGTCCCTGCATCAAAATCTGCAGCTGCCACAAGACCACCAGTGGTCGGGTCAAACTTAAGGCCTCCTTCAACCCCCTGAACAGAGTCTAGCACAGTTTGTATTTTCTTTAGGGAACGGTTCACTTTGTTTATCTTGCGGGATGGCCATCTTGAGATCCCATGTTGTCTGCATATCCTCTTCAGTGTAGTAGGGCAAACTACAAACAACCAACAAATTAATTAATTCATTAAAACTATTGGAACAGGAACAGGAACAAGACCAAATCATATTGTTGGGGAAGGAATGGAGGTAAATAATTCAGCAACAAATCAAGTGTTATTTTTGAACACAAATTTTCCAGATTTTATTTTTTTATAATTAAGTTTTTGGAAATGAAAGATCTCTTAAAACTCGATAATTTGCACTTTGAACAGAAGGCTACATAGGATCATGTTTATTGCTTGACAAACGCCCATGGTAGTCAGCAACTGAATGAGTCAACAAATTTATATATAGACAAAAAGCATGCTACTATTAGGTCTTACCACCAATGCTTTTGGCAGCATCCTTAAGACTCCCAGAAAAGTATTGCTGAAGAACACTTAAGCTAACATTCTTCTCTGCTGTACTCCGCCTTTTCTCTGTTAGTCTCCTTGATCCACTCGTCTACATAGAATCAAGAAATTGTGTGACAAATCAATTCCCAAATTATACAAAATGATTGCATTGTGAATATTCAAAACAAAAAGTACCAAACTGGACATAATTCACAATAAGAATCATGTCATTTTCTTAGATATGTAAGCACTCAATGGGTGTGTGTGTGTGTGTGTGTGTGTGTGTGCTCGCGCGTGAGCGTGTGTGTGTGCGCCTTTTATTTTGGTACATTTTCCTTTCCTTTTTCGCATTTTCAGTTTGAATGACTGTACAATTTTATTAAAAAATTATGCAAGGACCCAGTTCGCATAACTTTGGTAATATAACTTTATCAATAAACTTAAACAAATATTAACTACTGTATTCATGAATACCAAATATATGTTAAGTCTTCAATCCAATGGTTGTACGTTGATCTTAATAATATCTCTTTGTCAATAGTCTATAAGTATCACGGACGAAAGGATTAGTGAAGATTACCGTTGTCAAGCAAACAAATAGGAACCCTTGGTATTTCATAAATTTACAAATAAGGTTTTCCTAGGCTCATAAACGAGAACCAAAGAATTATTAAGCCTACACTATTTTTTGCTTTTGCTATTATGATTTGGGTGGGGGTGACCAACAACCTATGAACCATGTGTACTTCGACAAACATGCCATACCTGTACCGGGTACCGGTACTACGTATGGTATTTCTACATACGTACCGAATATCCGAAACACATACCAATTTCTTTTCTTTTTTTTCCTTTATGTTTGCTGTACTCCAGACATATCTAGTGTTTACGCAAGTCATACTATATCTTAGTCAAAATAATATTTTCTTTTAATACAAAGGTAAAATTAGTTTCATTGGACTTTATTTATTTATTTATTTTAATTCTCAACAAGATTTTAAAATTAAACTATGGTTTGTAAGTTATTTAATATAATGACATTTAATTTTGGTTTATACTTTTACTTTTTTGCATTAAATGTGAATTGTAGGTTAGATCTCAACAAACTAAGTCATTTAACTAGTTTTTGTGTTACTCTAAATTAAAAAAAATAAAATAAAATAAAATAAATTTACAAACGTATCCAACTATACCCTTACCTTAACTTTTTTAGATTTTACTGTATCGACGTACCCGTATCGTACCGGTTCCCATACGTACTCATGCTTCATAGACATTATTGATTTCTGCTTCATATAGAAGTTTTCCTTATTTCAATGGAGCTTAAAAAAAGAAAGAATTGGTCCACGGAAAAATACTTTAGTGGTTTTTTTTACGTTTGCAGCCTATTTATTTTGCACTGTTGTTTTCAATATTGTATTTGAATTTCTATTTGTTCTGTGGGTGCTGACAGAATAGCCAAGTCCACTTGATTGACCAACACTCAGCTTACATCAGCATGTCTGCAGCTTTAATAATATCATTAATCACAATGCTTCGGAACTAATTCTAACAATTTACATCTTTGGAACTGAGAAAACATATTTTCAGGAATTGCCATGAAGGTGAAGCTTCTCTCGGTTACCAAGTAGAGAGAGCTCAGCTAATTCTTGCAAAAACAGAGGCACAAAATCTTGGCGTATGTACTTCAAGTGATTATAAGGTTTCTTCTGTTCAGTTTTTTGTGCTTAATTAATTTGTTCCTTTGGGGTTCTGATGGGAATCTGGAACAGTACCAATGATTTAACGCCTCAAGGAAGGTAGGTAAAATCCAGTCACAGAGTCAGAGAGAGAGAGAGGGAGGTCATTGTTGATGGGGAAAAAAGCACCAATAACATAAGATGTTTTATGAAAAACAAAATAATGAAAAAATTCCCACAAAAATTCTTCTTACATGCAGAATTATATTTGAAACTCATAACTTCAATGGGATCTGCAGAAAATGGACATCATCGGTCCGCTAGCACATGATTAAAAAAAATGCATAGAAGTTCCAAATACCAACTCCATATCTTAATTTTAAACAAGATCATTGATGATGCAAGAAAGAAATATGGTTTGAAAGAGTACCACTTACCTGTTCACGAGGACCATTTGGTTCTAATCCAATAGTTTTTGACTCAAATACATCAAGACCATCCAGTGGAAGTGGCATTTGATCAACAGAATTCAAACTGCTATCTAATAATGCCTCTCGAGAGGTGGTTTTCCTTGAAATTGCCTCAGTTTGGAAGTTGGGGACCAACTCCTTTTGAAATGCAAATTGAGAACCCTCTGCACCAACTAATTCAGCATCCGAAACTGTCCTTAAACTCTTACAAATCCTTTGCATAGTGCCAGAGAGGTTGTTCAACAAGAGTTGCTGTTCCGTGCTCCCTTTCATATTTAGGGGTAGAAAAAACTCTAATATATAGTCATCATTGCCAGTGTACATGCTCCTTAACCTGATTGCAACAGCGGCGTTCAGCCCAAACTTGCGCGCATGATGGACCAGTGGATACTCACTGATGTCATATTCTTTCACATCAGGGAAGAAAAACGGGTGATTTGATTGCAAAGCTTTTCCGACTATACCTTGGGCTTCCTCGAGATAATGTTCTGCGCATGCATGCACAAATCCTTGCAAGTCTCCATCGTTCACATAGCAAGCAGTACCCTCAATGCATAATATACATTTCTCATTTAAACTTGCCTTACCCTCTCTCACACGTACTCTTATATTTTCATCACCAACTCTTTGATTGTAGCTACATGGAATCCACGTTAGAGCAAGCGGCAATCTATGTGCATGACATACAGCTCGTAAAACATCGGTTATCTCAGCTAAAGCAGCCATTTGATTGTTAGACAAGCACTGCCAAAATAAGAGAAAATAATTAAAACCATTAATATTTCCCGAGCTTTTAAAAATTGAATAAAAAAATTAAAAAAATAAAAAAATAAACATTATTCATCTTGTTATTTATTACCTGGGGATAAAGCCTAGGAGGTGTAGTGCTTCTTAAATTCACAGCCTGTAAAAACATTCAGGATTAGGAGTTCAGACAAAACTAACAACTCTGCAATAAAAATTTATTATAAAATAAATTCACGTCCTAGGCATATATAGAAACATCATATTTTTATACTTTCCTTTGAATAGCAGCCATGAAAATTGGGAAAAAACACCTCATGAGCCTTGAATTAATGATTCACAGATCAAGATAAAAAGTTGACTAAAAGCATAAAAATTTCCATAACTGAGGAAAACTACTAAAACAAAAGGAGGCGTATATAAATACTAAACAAGTTGTGGAGCTTTGTCTAAATACATGGAGATCAATTAGATACCAAAAACAAACTCCCATTAGCAAAATGGAGACATGTTTAGTACTGAGAAACAACACTTCCTAGTTTAAAGATACTTGAAAACAAATCACATTCTCTGCTATAATTTATTTCCCAAGATAGCTTAACCAAGATGACAATGCATCCCCATAAATCAAAAAGGGAATGACAGCTATGCGCTATTTGACTTCAAGTACATTATGTGATTTCCATACACACCAAAAATGAATTCAAAACCACTTTGGCCAGTTTTGGTGGGGTGACTGTTTCATGAGCATTTATACCTTCTTCTTTTTTTTCCCTCTTCTGGTTTTGTTCCTTAACTAGAAAGTATGTCATGCAATTTTAGAGGGGAAATGGTGTCCCATTAATTAAACAGGTGATTGAATCATCGATTCAAAAGTTTCAACACGAATAGAGGAAAATTAAACTCCAAGGAGGATGGAAGGAAGAATTCCCATTGTAAAGACAAGGAAAGAAGACTAACCTGGAGTGCATGACAAACAGTCTCCATCTCCAAATCAAAGTCGGGTTTCTCTTTCGTGGTTACAAGTTCGAGCACAGCACAACATGACATTTCAAGGGGATCATCTTCAAAAATGGGTAAAGCAATGGATCCACGAACTCCATGCTTAACTGCATGCTGAACACGCAAGTACTCGGTCTTGTTGTAGTATACCACATTTGAGGTCCACTCGGGAGTTTTTGAAATAAATACACGACCAGGTAACCCGGGAAAAGAACCTTGTTTTACTTCTGCAGAAAAGGTAAATGCCCTTGATACTTCACGATACCCTGCAAGCATCTGATCGAGCAAGTAGGGTTGCTCACAAGTGCTTAAGATATACTGATCACCATGCTTGATTGGAACCCAAACTTGGGCCAAAATACCACTTCTACATGACTCTTTAAACAAGGACAACGCCTTCAGCATCTTCTCTGCAAGCGTTTGTGAAAGTGGCCTAGGGATCCCACAATTCCCTATATTTTGCTGAAAATAACCACTACCCATTTTAGCACCAGAGTAATCCCCACCAGCAGAATCCACCAAAAAATCCAATTGGGTATTCATATGTTGGAACATCATTTTGTCTCCACCACTGTAAGAACTCCCCACAACATCACCATCAGACACAGCGAATGCAGCAGTATTTTGTTCACTGAAGTTCAATGCATCAAACGGCATGTAACTTGCGGGCATTGACTGAAGGGGTGACAACACATTAGACATAAACAATTGGTCCGTCGTTGAGGGGCTGCAACACCATCCAGCATATGTATCAAAATTCACAAGCTCTGCAATATTATTAAAGGATTCCTCCGAAATTGAATGCCTTGTACCACCATCCAATGGTACACCCTCCATCTGAACTTTTGGAGAAGCCCAATAACCGGTACCCTTTTCTCTAGATGAAAATGGATATTCCATTAAAAAAAAAAAAAAAGCAAAATTTTGACCAACCAAAGCAATAAATACTAGATTTCTTTCAAAAAGCACGGGTTTGTGTCCCTAAAATCCTCTCCCATTTGTACACCCAAAACCCAATACTTCCACATCAAATTCATCTGATTTTTATGCTCAAATCTCTCTACAACAACAAAGTAAACTCTTCTGATCTTCAGTGAAAGAAAAATGCTAATTAACATAAGAAATCAATAACTTATTCAATAATTAACCAGTGAATTCTCTACAAGAACCAATAAAACAGATTTGTACTGACCTTTGAACTGATAATAACTACAAAATTCGTTATCTCCCAAAGCAACCCACGACCTGCAAAAAATAAAATAAAAAAACATAACTCTTAATCAAACAACAAACTCAAACAGACAGAATTTGTCAAAAGAGAAACAAAAGAATTCGGCCAAACCAACAACCAATCACCCAAATTCAATTTGATAAAAAAAAAAATATTTGAAACTCTGATCGAAATGAAACAAAACATCGAAACCCATGAATAGATAAAGATTAAGTGAGTTTTCACCTAAATAGGCGAATCAGGAATTCAAAAATCGTAGCCCTAGCTTCTTCTACAGATAAGCTTCCAACGCCTACCAAACTATCTTCATATAAGTTTGACAAACTCGCCGCAGACCCTCGAAACACGGCTATCTCTCAACTTAAAAATAAATAAATAAATGGTACAGCTCTAAATTTATTGTTTAATTATCAATTTTTAACGGTATATATAAAAAATTATCGTAAAAAATTTATTTTTAGTTATAATTTTATCACAATTTATTTTTAATAAAATTTGATAGAAATTGAAACTAATTATTAAGATCTATTAGTTTATCCATAAATAAATACCAAAAAAACTCTAGAAAGTGACGATGGTCCGTTTGAGATGCGGGTTGGTTTTGATTATTTTATTATTAAAAAGTTTCTTTTATAATAGTATTTTTTTGATTTTTATAAGTGAAAAATAAAATAATTATAAATTAGATGTAATGTTTTATCTTATTAAATTAAATTTTTTTTTTTTTTTGACTAAAATATTCAAAATGATTGTAAATTAGAGGTAATGTTTTATCTTATTAAATTAAAATTTTTTTTTTTTTTGACTAAAATATTCAAAAAAATCAAAATGTCTAACATGTCAACTGAGGGCTATATGTATGTAGAGAGAGATAAATGAATATACTATAAATACAAGGTAAAAAAAAACGATGGTACTATATATACCAATTAATATATATATTAGTGTACTAATTAGTGTTGTGATATTATTATTGATCACACTTATTATATAAGTTACAAATATTTAAAATTATATAAATGATATCATATCATCTGTTAGTACATTAATATATACATTAATTAGTATTATTAGAAAAAACCAAAAAATTCTAGAGAAAGACTATGAGATGTGGAGAGAGAGAGAGAAATTAATAGGAAATGGGTGGTGGAACGGTCCAGACAGATCGTACATCAGTACGGCAGAGGGTTTAGTTACTAGACATAGACAACACTAAAAAAAATTAAAAAAATCTCCTATGCGAATATATTATAATCGATGATCAAAGTCAAATTTTAACAGTGTTAACAGTGTGAAAAGGGAAATGTTTCGGGTTCCATGTAGTACATCATATACAACTCTTACATGAAATTATATAATTAATTTTACAAAAATATAAGTTAAACATAAATTTATATAAATTTATAAAAACTTACATGATTTTATAAATTTATATTCAATTTACATATTTTTATAAAAAATTAATATAAATTTATAAAAACATACATAATTTTATGTTAAAATTGTATATAGTATGTATACTGAAAAAATTTTCGTGTATTAAATTTTTAAAGGTAAAATTTATTTTACTTTCTTATGATATGACTTGATAGCACTTCACATTCGTATTTTGAAAATAACTATATACTCCCATGTGATTTTGGATTCAAATATAACCTTAACTGTGTTAATGTTAATAATAAAAACACAATTATACTATTTATGTTTTCTTATTTTATTTTTAGCTCTCTTTATAAATAAATAAATAAATTTATCTCCATGATTAAGCAACAAAAATTAAAATCATAATACAAAAATAATCTAAGAAAATAGAGTTTTCCAAATATTTTTTTTAACAAACTTAATTTTTAATTTAATTAGATATTATGATACAAATGTATATATATGCCCTATATATAGACATTACAACTAATTTATGACTGAATTGTTTAATATCTATATGTACATGTTTAATTTAAAATATTATTAAATAATAAATTTGGTTAAAAATTAAAAATTCAATTAAGATTTTATGGTAATAAATTAAGTTATTTACATGAATTTATGATTTAATTTTTCATATATATATGGTTAATTAAAAATATTATTAAATATTGTAATTTTATGGTAATAAATTAGGGTGCTTAATTTTATTTATGATTTAATTTGTTATATATGTCTGTGTGTGTGTGTTTATGTTTATTTTAAAATATTATTAAATAAAAAATTGGATTAAAATTTAAAAACTAGATTAAAGTAGTTTGATGATTAATTTTTATAATAATAAATTAAGGTATTTATGTTAATTTAATTTGTTCTATATATATAATATGTATGTTTAATTAAGAAATTTAGATAATAAAAAAAAAGAAAAAGGTAAAACAATGTTAGTTTCATCTTCTTATATTGAAATTTAATTTTGACTATTTTTTTTCCTTCTCCACTCTCAAAATAGGCATGTGAAACACACTCTCTGTTAGTTTGGATGAAAAATGTAATTGTAATATTTTAGTCCAATTATATAAGAGGTATTTGGTTATTTTTAAAAGACATGAAAGTAAAGTGCTATTGGATCATACTATAAAAGGTAAAATGAATTTTGCCTAATTTTTAATAATGTGCATTAATGGTGTAATTAGACATTATTTTTTAAATTTTCTTATATATAGTAAGTCAAGAAAGTACTGACTAATAAGGAACTAAAAAAAGTAGTGAGAGAGTTTAAGAAACCTATAATGATCTATACACTAAACTATATAGTAAGAAGGGAGAAAAAAGAATAAACAAAATTGCTAATATAAGAGAAAGGGAAGTAAGAGATTTTAATTAGGTTAAGTGCATCAAGAGTGAGAACTCTACGCTTTTTGTAAAAGATGAAGAGATTAAGGAGAGGTAAAAGAATTATTTTTTGAGAAATTATTAAATGAGAAACATGAAGGAATGTCAGAAGGGGAGGAAGTAACCAATAATAAGGAAAACAAAGACTACAGATTCTATCACAGGATTAGAAACTTTAAAATGGAGATTGCTCTTAAGAAGATGAAATCGAACAAAGCTTTAGAACCCTGATGATATCCCTATTGAAGGTTGGAAATGCTTGAGTAAGAAGGGAGTTGCTTGGTTGACTAGGTTATTTAGCAAGATTTTGTTGACTAGGAAAATGTCAGAGAAGTGGATGAATAGTATTTTAGTATCAATCTATAAGAATAAAGGAGATGTCTGTAATTGCAGCGGTTATAGAGGAATCAAACTGATGTGTCATATAATGAAAGTGTGTGAGAGAGTGATGGAATGTCAATTGCGAGATATAATAGAAGTGTTAGAGAATCAATTTGGATTTATATCTGGTTGATCAATAATGAAAGTGACCTATCTTTTGAGAAGAGTAATAGAAAAGTATAAAGAAAAGAAAATAAACATTCATATGGATTTATCGATCTTGAGAAAGCATATAATAGAGTGTCTCGGGATATAATCTAGTAGGTGATAGAGAAGAAAAGAGTGACAAAATGTTACATTAATGTGATTAGAGACATGTATGAAGGTATAGTGACTACTATTAGATCACTTGCTGGAGACACAAGTGAATTTTCAATTACTGTAGGGTAACATCATGGATCAACCTTAAGTCTTTATCTTTTTATTTTAGTTATGGATAAATTGATGAGAAATATTCAGGATGATGTGCCACAGTGTATGCTTTTTGTAGATGATATTGTGTTAGTGGATGGGATTAGAGAATAAGTTAACACTAAGTTGGAGACTTGGAGATAATCACTTAAATCTAAAGGATTTACGATAAGCAGAATTAAAACAAAGTACATGGAGTGTAAATTTTATAATAGTAACAATGGAAACAGAGGAAAAGCGAAGATTGAGAACCAAGAACTACCTAAGAGTGAACATTTTTGTTATTTAGGATCGATTATCACAACGGCTGGGGAGATTGTAGCAGATGTAGTCCATAGAATTACAACAAAGTTGCTTAAATGGAGAAGTGCGTCTGGGGTACTATATATAAACGAGTATCCACTATACTAAAAGAAAATTTTTATAAAACGGCTATTAGACCAATGATGTTGTATAGGACGAGATGTTGTATGGGACGAGATGTTGGGCAACTAAGAAACAACATGTAAATAAGATGAACGTTGCTGAGATGAGAATGCTAAGGTGGATGCGTGACAAGACTGGAAAAGAAAAAGTTAGAAATGAGTATATTCGTGAATAGGTAGGTGTAGTACCGATAAAAAACAAGTTGAGAGAGACTAGATTGAGATAGTTTGGTCATATACAATGGAGACCAAGAGACTAGATTGAGATAGTTTGGTCATATACAATGGAGACCAACAGATGCAGTAGTGAAGAGATGTGATACAGTGACAATAGATGAAAGTTTAGAGGAAGGGACAGACCTAAATTGACGTGAGTTAGTGTAGCAAACAGAGATATGCATCTCCTAAATTTAACTAACCAAATGGTTGTTGATCGAGTCAAGTGCAGAAGAAGGATTCATGTAGTCAACCTCATTTGATGGAACTTAAGGCTTGATTTGGTTTGATTTGGTTTGATTGTAAGTCAAAATGCTATTTATGGGTCCCATTATAAAAATAAAATAAAATAAAAGAGTTCTAACTAAAATTTAGCATTTTGTCACATCTTAATTTTAATTTGACACAAAATTGGCAATATCATATTTTGATAACTCTTACAGCATGCGATTTTTATTATTATTTTTTTATTTTTTTGCCACATGATAGGATGTTAGTAAAATTAAATTATTACAGTAGATGAATGACACCCCCCATTAATTCAAATCTGAGACCTCGTGACCACTAGTGACTATAGGAATTTTTATTAGGGTAGACACTAAAAAAAATTTACACTTCACAAATTTATTAATTTTTCTTTTGAGAACATAAAAAAGCAGTTATATTAAAATAAAAAAAATAACATACAATAAAAGAAAAATAACATGACCCAAAAGGGCCAAACATATAATCAAACAAAAAAAAATCATAAATAAAAAAAAAATCCAGTTACAATCCAGGAAAAACCATCAATTTTCTTATAAATGTGTTTTGGAAAGTTAGATTAACATCAAACCAAGCAAGATATAGCAGGCCCGGGTTGAAACTTGACCCATTTATACTCCATGGTTTTGAGTTTTGTATATATTGGTGTTGTTTAAATCTATTCTAGTCCGTGTTATTGATTGGGAGTTAAAATTTAGATTGTTGCCTACGTTTGAAATAGGATGGGACTTAGTAGTTATGGGGGAAATTCTGTTTGTTTGTTCTTTTCTTCGCTCGAGCAGTCTTTGGTTTCTTCCAGATTCTGGGTTTGCAGTCTAAACTTCTAGGAGGGAGTCGTTCTTCGCGCGAGCAGTCTAGCTGCAGTCTAAAT